GAGCGCACATTGCTGGCTCATGTCCAGCTTTTCATCCACCAGTGCCCCCAAGTCCTTCTCAGCAGGGCTGCTCTCCATCCCTTCATCCCCCAGCCTGGATTGATGCCGGGGGTTGCCCCAACCCAGGTGCAGGACCCTGCACTTGGCCTTGTTGAACCTCATGAGGTTCACACGGGCCCACTTCTCCAGCCCATCCAAGTCCCTCTGGATGGCATCCCCTCCCTCTTGCAGGCGTTGGATGCAAGGTGTGCTCTGGGGTTCAGAGCTGTCCTGCTGTGCTGCGGGTGGGACCTGCCCGCAGGACCCGTATCTCCTGACACGTCCTCAGAGTCCCAGCAGCGTGTCCAGCTGAAGCCTTCCCCTGCACCACACTGCCTGCTCCGAAGGGACCTTCCATCCACTGTGGGCCTTGCTATCGCATCCCATCCCTGGGTGTATGATGTCTCCTCCTTCCTTTCCTCCACCCTCTGTGTTTAGGAGCAGAAAGCTTCTTGACCTGTCCTCAGGGTAGCAAAATCATGGAGCAGAGGCTGCCAGACGTGGTGCCTGCTGCTCCCCATGAGCTCCGACTGCTCCTGTCCCGGTTCACGCCAGGCTTTGCTGCGCTTTGAGCAATGCAGGGCTGTTCCTGGCTCCGGGGAGCAGGATGGAAGGGCTTGTCTGCTTGTTTATGCTTCCAGCAGCCCCTAATCCCTGTCACAGGGTTTCCATGCGGGAGAACATGTTCTGGGACCATGCCACGTGCCTCTCCGCTCTCTTGTGCGAGTCCTCTGGCTCCGGCCGGGTGGCTTTGCTGCTTGTCTTGCAGTGTGCTTCCCCACTGTTGGGCAGGGCCAATTTTGGGACAGTGACTCCAAGGCAGAGATTTCCTGAAGGAGATGGCTCTGCTGTCACTCAGGGCTGCTCTCCAGGGGCTGGCAGTGCTCCTGGGTGAGACCTCGGGTCTGCAGGCTGGGTTTAGGGTGTCAGCGGGAAGGTTTAGCTGCTCAAGCTCAAGGAGGATCTCATGACTTGGCCAGAATCCCCCTGGGCTGTCAGAGCCCTGTTATCTCAGTGGCAAAGAGCTTGGGCTTGAAATTACACCCGAGGTCAGCTGGAGTTGAAGCTGAGACCTTGTTTGTAAGTTGTTGGCTAATGCCAAGGCGCAGCGGAGCGTGGGGCAGCTGAGCTGCAGCAGGGCATACTATGGCTTGATGCACCCTGGGTCTGGAGGAGCTCCTTGCTTCATGGTCTGGCCGCTGGTGCCTGCAGGGTGGGGAGGTGTTGGGATGAGGTTTGGTGCTCCACCGCGGTGAGGACATTGGGCTGGTGTTGTCCGAGACAGAGCACCCAGTCCCACCAGGGCAGACCTTATCCTTGCCGTGGGGTGGGCTGTTTGAGAGCAGCTCTGGACCCTGGGACAGAGCACCCTCCCTGTGCTGCCTCAGGGCCTCCAGGTCACACTTGCCTGGATGTTGAAACCCCGTTGCCTTCCGTGAGCGGGTTTGGGGCATCTGACTGGCCAGCAGAGCCGGCGCTGAGCAGGGTTTGATCCATTGGCAGTGGGATGGCGCGGGAAGAGCAGGGTCCGATGTCAGGCTGGCGGCAGGGGAGCCTCGGAGCTGCCCTGGCCACCAGGGTGGGGTTGTGGGGGGGTTGCTGACCTGGCCCTTATCTTCCCTGTTTCTCTTCTTAGCTCCTGCACCTCTGCAGCCGAGAAGGAGATGGGAGGTGAGTGACCCAGCCTCTCCTGCTGACAGGAGATAGCCTGAAGGTCCAGCTGGTCCGGGCAGTGTGGGCCTGGTGTGAGGGAAAGACCCAGCTCCCGCAGGCTCAAAGCATGAGCTGGAGGAAGAACATCTTGGTTCTTGGCCAACCCTGCTCCTCAGCAACGGCTGAGCCCCTGCTCAGGCAACAGAGCAGGCAGGGCGCATTGCAGCCCTCAGGGGTTCTTTTGAGGTCCAAGACAGAGCCCCTCTCCCCTGCGCCCACAGCAGAAGCTCCCAGGAAGGCTTGTAGGAGCTCAGCAGGGCTGTGTGGCCCATCTCCATCCTCTTCCACCCCAGGAGCAGAGCAAAGGGAGAAGCAGTACCGAGCCCATCGGGGATTCGGGGATCGCCGCGGTGGGGTCATCAGTGCCCGCACCTATTTCTACGCTGACGAGGCCAAGTGTGACCAGCATATGGAGACTTTCCTCCGCTGCATCGACGCCTCAAGTAAGTGCTCCATGTGTCCTCAGCAGCCCCACTGTGCTTGGGGACTGCAGGGACCCTGCAGCCCACCACCATATCTCGGGTACCTCCCTTCTGCCCAAGCACTCTGCCTGTTGGGCTAGCTCGGTCTTTGTGGCTCCATCCAGGTGGCAGCTCAGAGGACGGCTTCTCGGCCATCAAGCTGACGGCGCTGGGCAGACCTCAGTTCCTGGTGAGTGCCAGGGCTGTGACCAGGGCAAGGTGGGTCAAAGCCAGGGCCACGGATGATGCGTCTGGGGGGGGCAGGTGCTTTGGGGTTCCAGGCTTGCTGCAGTGGCATCTCTACTGATGGCAGAGAGGAGTGGGCACCAACAGGCTGTCCCCTGTGTGCCCGAGAGCACCCTGGAGACCCTGTCTCAACTTTTGGAAGGAAGAGCTCAGAAGTTTAGAGGTCCCAGTGTGAGGGTGGGGGGGGGTCTGTACTGCTAGGCTTGGCCCCTGCTTGGCCAAGGTCCCCTGCTATAGGGTCAGGGTCTGCCTCAGGCTGGGCACGATCCTGCAAAGCCTCCACTGCAGGAGGCTCTGAGACAGTTGGGCTCCAGCCCGGGTGTCTCACCTCGAGCTCTGTCCCCGCAGCTGCAGTTCTCAGAGGTGCTGGTGAAGTGGCGGAGGTTCTTCCACCAAATGGAAGCAGAGCAGGGCCAGGCCGGGCGGGCAGTGCTGGAGATGAAGCTGGAGGCGGAGAAGCTGCAGGTGAGGCAGGCAATGTCCAAGGGAGGAGGCTGTGCTGCCGGGGATGCGCTGCTGGGGGTGGCCGGTGGCCATAGGGACCCCGGAGCAGCCCTGACCTGTGAGACCTCTGAGCCTGGAGCAGTAAGACCCCTGTAGCCCCTTGGCACTGATGCTTCTTTTGGTGGCAGGAGGCCCTGGCCAACCTCGGCATCGCAACCAAGGCGGAGAGCCAGCACTGGTTCACAGGCGAGAACCTGGGTGTAAGCGGGTAAGCTGCCTGAGACCTGGGGGGTGCAGTGCGATGGGGACACTGGGGGACCTTGTCCCTGTTCGTGGGGCAGCAGCAAGGAGAGGTCTCCAAAGGCCAGCACTGGCTCAGCACAGCGACCAGGCAGAGAGGAGGTTTGGGTGGAGGTGACAAGATGGGTCAGGGTGGCATGTGCTGTGCAAGGAGGTTTGGGCGGAGGTGACAAGATGGGTCAGGGTGGCATGTGCTGTGCCCCTGGCTCGCTGGTGGGGGTTGGCAGCTGGTAGAGACCCCCCCTGCCCCTGCAAGACACCAGTACAGGCCTGGCTCTCTGCTCCCAGCACTGTGGACCTGCTGGACTGGAACAGCCTGATCGACAGCCGCACCAAGCTCTCCAAGCTGCTGCTCGTCCCCAACATGCAGGTGGGTACCCATCTCTGCCACCCCTGGAGTGGCCCCACAGGGAGGGTGCTGTCAGTACGGGTCAGCCCGTCCCCCGTTCTGGTCCCCTGCTGCTGCTCCAAGGTTAGGGTGCTGCAAGGGCCCATCCTTCTGTGTAGTTTGCCTCCTCCCTGCCGTTGCCTACCAACACGTGCCTCCCTGGTGCGAGTTTGTCTCCTGTGGGCAGGGCTGGCCGCAGGCAGGCAGGGTGCCACAAGCTGTTCTTGTTTCAGACTGGGCAGCTGGAGCCTTTGCTCTCACGCTTCACTGAGGAGGAGGATCTGCAGATGAAGCGGATGCTGCAGCGGATGGACGTCCTTGCCAAGGTCAGGGGGTGCTGGGGCTGGGGGAGCTGGGCACGGGCACCCCCGCAGAGAGGGAAGGTGCGTAGCAGGTGGCCCCATCAGACCAACCTGCGTGTCGTTCACACCGCCAGAGAGCCACGGAGAAGGGCGTGAGGCTGATGGTGGACGCGGAGCAGAGCTACTTCCAGCCAGCTATCAGCCGCCTCACTCTGGAGATGCAGCGCCGCTTCAACAGGGATCGGGCGATCATCTTCAACACCTACCAGTGCTACCTGAAGGTGAGGTCCGGCAGGAGGCTGGGCAGGAAGGACCTGCTGGCGCAGCTGGATGGAGACCTCAGCTCCTGAAGCCATGGCAATGCAGTGGCACGACTCCAGGGCTGGCTGGCTGGAGGTGCAGGGTGCAGGTCGCACTGATGCGATGACCCAGTGCCATTTCTTCCATCTGGTCTCAGGAGGCTTACGACAATGTGACGGTGGACGTGGAGCTGTCACGCCGGGAGGGCTGGCACTTCGGAACCAAGCTGGTCCGTGGTGCCTACATGGAGCAGGAGCGGGAGAGGGCAGCCCAGATTGGCTATGAGGATCCCATCAACCCCACCTACGAGAAGACCAACGAGATGTACCACAGGTAGGGTACAGCCCCGCCACGCTCCTCCTGCCCGCCCCACCAGGCACAGGCTCGGGCAGCCTCACCACGCAGCCCTGTACTGTCCTACAGGTGCCTGGACTATATCCTGGAGGAGATCAAGCACAGCCGCAAAGCCAACGTGATGGTGGCATCTCACAATGAGGACACGGTGAAGTTCACCCTGCGCAGGTGGGTGCTGGGGAGGCAACGTGTCATGGCAGGGACTGGGGGCTCGAGGGATGTGGGGGCCCAGCAGAGCTGCAGTGAGATGTGCTGTGGCTTGTCAGGTCTCCTCTGCGCTCACCTGGTGGGATCCTAGCTCCCATCTGGTGCTCAGGGCTTCAGTTGGGGCTTGGAGCTGGAGAAGCGCTTCAGCGGCTGCAGAGCTGGCCCCATGGGGCAGCCCAGAGGCTGTTTTAAAAACAAATCCCTCGAGTCCTTGCATCCCAGCATCAATCTGGGACGTAGCCAGTGCCGTGCACTCGTACTTGGAGATGACCCACGCTCCTCTGGTGGGACACGCTGCCCCTGTGTGCTCTGCTGCCTCTGCTCTTCCCTAAGCCGGGGGCTTGGCTTGCAGGATGATGGAGCTCGGGATCCATCCCTCAGAGAAGAAGGTGTACTTTGGGCAGCTGCTGGGCATGTGTGACCAGATCACCTTCCCCCTGGGTGAGTGCTGGGAGTGGGGGGGGGGGGGTGGCAGGTGTGCTCCTGCCCCACCTTGACCCCTGGGGTTTCCCTGAGCAGCTGCTGTGGGGTCTGAAGGGTGGATGGAGCCGGGCTATGGGTCTGTCAGAGGGCAGGACTGGCTGAGGACAGTGCCTTCTTGCCTCTTCCCCAGCTGTGTGGAGTGCTGTGACCCCTGCATGGGGTTTGGGGAAGATGTAGATGGAGAATCACATCTGTCTCCTGGAGGCCCCATGAGACCATGATGGCTGGGCAGGGAGATTCCTGCTTTGGACTACGAGCTGAGATCAGGGTACTCCTAGATGGGGCAGAGACGGGTCCTGGCAGCCAGCAAACCCTTCTTGTACCTCCTTGGTCTGGGAGTGTCGCTTCGCTCCACTGGACGTGCACACCACGTCCTGGGCTCTCTGCTAGCGGGGTGGCAACAGACTCTTGTGTGACCTTGTCCTCTCCTCTGCCGCCGGCCCAGGCAGCAGAGCAGAGCTCCCAGGGGCCTGGACAGAGGGACATGCAAGGGTCCAGGTAGCCCAGCTTAGGTCAGGGACTGATCCCCCTGCCCACACCAGTGTCCGGAGCAGAGACCCGAGGCCAGGAGAGCAGCGGGAGGCAGACCGGGCAGTTGTCCAGCATGGATGCTGCTCTGTCCTGGAGTTCCCCTCGCAAACGGGGTTTGGCTGCCTGTCTGCAACCTCCTCTGGTCATGCTGGAAAAATGTGTTAACTTGATGTTTCTGGTTGAATGCTTCTTGAATTGGCCCGGCCCTGGCTGCTGACATTCCCAGGGCTCCTGGTGACCTCCGCCCGCTCCCCCCGGCGCGTTCCCAAGCTCCCCGTGCTGAGCCGGGGGAGGGATGCACCGCCGCTCCCCCCAGCCCGGGCAGGCCGCGCCACGTCCGGCCAGCG